GCGCCATGAGCCGCTGCATATGCGTCTCTGTGTGCTTTTGCCTGAGGCTTGTGCGATCACACAGGTAGCGAGGGAAGATAAGGTGAGGGAGAAGAGTCTTGTCTTCCTTTTTCAGCTGATAAGCAAAGGCCTCCTGTTCTCAATTTACTTTTCTGTCATTGGCCTGTGTAAACACACACACACACACACACACACACACACACACACACACATTACACACACAAAGAGCCAGACAGTGTCTTATATAGCGACTGTCTGTCTGCTTTCTCAGAAAGCTAGACAGGGGTAGAAAAGATTGGCCATCACTTTGTGAAGAGGACAGTTTCGGAGGTCTCATTACTGATTGTAAGGTGGATGAAATAGTCAGTGGAAAGAAAGAAAGAAAAAAGCCTGTTATACAAAGATATCGATGGGGGAGGAATATTAATAAATAAATAGAAGATAAATAGACTGTTGGTCTGAGATAGAAAATTTGCACATTTTCAAGTTAGAACCATCCCAAAATCGTTTAATCGATTTCAATAGCATATTGAGAAGGAGGCTGAAGTAGTCTTCAGTGAAAAGAAGGAAATTTAAAACAAAATGTCTATTATACAAAGATAAAACTGATTGCAGAGAAAAGTAAAAAAATGAATAGTTGATGCAGTAAATTACGGTAATAGTCTGTGTGTTTGAGGTAGACCATTTGCACATTTTCAAATCAAAACTGTCCCAAAATCATTTAAATAACACTTTTAATAGCTTTTTCCGAAGGAGGTGGAAGAAATAATCAGTGGAAAGCTGAAAGAAAAAAAAAAGCCTATTATACAAAGATATAATTTATTTGAGAGGAAAGTTAAATTGCCCGCTGTGTGTTCTTAGATGAAGAGAGGAAGAGGAGTATATTATGGCACTCTCACAATGACTCTCAGTGTGTTAGATCACAATAACAGGTCTCATAGAGTGAGCAGAGACAAAGTACAGCTGAGAAGAGAATCAACACTGTGCTGGACATTCCATCAGACTCAAATTAGATTTGAAGCCCAGCAAGACAGACTCGTTTAGGATGACATATCTGTCCTATATCCTTTCTGCTTTTGTCTTTCAGTAATATAATCACTCTTTTTCATCATTTCTTGAACCTGCAAGTGGTCAAAACGCTCTCCAAAGGCCGCCCTTTTATCTCTTGGGGTGATGTCTCACTGGCCAACTTAAAACTGTTTGATTTTGGTCGTGGAGTCACATCTTCCAACAAATTCCCAACAGTTAGCTGGTAAATGCAATAACTTCACCACCAAAGTCAGATTGGCATTAGTGAATTACTTCATTTAATTCATTCATGAATGAATGTAAATGAACTGATTTGAATAAAAAAAAATCACTCATTCAAGTATGCCTATTAAAAAAAAGAAGAAAAAAAAAGAAAATGGCAAAATATTTACAGTAGCTGATAATGTTTTTTTATTTTTTTTTATATTTTAATTTTTAAGTTAGTTTCTTTAAAATTGTATTTAGTGTAAACTGATAAAATTGATATGTGCAGTCCTCTTATACTAATCGAAATTAATTTATAAACCATAAAATGGTTTAGAGAAATTATATTATAATTTATTACATTATTTAATATGAATTAAAATAATATAAATTGAATAAATTATTATAAAATAAATAGATATAACAATAATCCCTTTTACAGAGCTCTAAAGCTTACTGGTATAAAATGAAGAATTAGGAAGAGGAGGCTTCACAAGAGAAAAAAAGCACTTCTTAATCCCAGAGTCAAGAAAGAGCTGTTGCAGAAATGGAGTTATTATGATGGACAGGTCGTGGTCTGGTGGAGTTGAAGGTCAGTCGATTATGAGAACTGGTGTGGATCGAAGCAGTCCGTGTGAGAAACAAGCAGTAAACAAAGGGACTTCAGGCTGAAGATGAAGGACTACTGAAGTGCATGAGGTGTTTGTGCTGTGGCTGTGTGCCGATGTGATATAACAACACAAAAAAGCTGCCTGGTAGATTAGATGTGCTGTATATACACCTTACATACACCTCATTTTATATATACAACGTAATTTTGTTGGCTGAATACCTCTTCACTGCTTAATTTTAATATGAAGAATCATAGTCGACAATTTTGTTTTCTGAAAAGAGCTGCAACAAAATCCAAGTCTAATAATTAATGAAGAATCACAGCTGCATTTTTGCTTTCGACATGAAAGTAGCACTTCAAAAGATCCTACCACCTAAGAACTTTGTTTTGCTTTGAGCCCAGATGGCTGAATTTTCTAAAGACAATTTTAGTTGACAAACATGGTGCTTCTTTACCATTTAATCTACAAATTCGTGTGTGTGAGCAAAGAGGTTATAGTTTGCCTGGTTAGTTTGGTCCATTTAGCCCCTGCTAGTTAATGCCACATCATAGAGGCAAAAAGCTTCTTTCTCATTTGATAGCATTTAAAAGTAGCTGTCTATTCTGATTTTCTTTCATTTTTAACAGCTAAGAATAATTGGAACTGCCATTAAGATGAATGAGAATGCAACGTTTTATAGACCTCCTTGGTATGAGTTTACATTGCAAGTAAGTGAGTGGAGCGGGCATATAATTTAGGTTTCTTGTGCACTTGTCCTCTTGTTACCTTATTTTGCTGAAGGCAACTGAATCTCTTGCAGCCTCAGCAGCATTGATACAAGAATGATGAGTTGACAAAAGTATCCTCTGCTTTCTGCAGGGGACATGTGATGACTCTGTTTCTCATGGGGAAGCCAGCCAGATAAGGCATATATATATA